AGCAGTAACACTCTCTCCTTCAGAACCAAGACTCAGCAAACACAAGCCAAATCAAACCAAAGTGAACTACTCTATATACTCGATAACAAGAAACAAGAGACCAATAGTCCAACAGACTAAATTGTAGGAACAAAGAGAGTCGTGACAAACATATACTCATTGATGCTTCTTGATTGATGATGAAGCACTTGTCCATGCTTTTATGAGCTTGGGGAAATCAAACTGCGAGCACTATAATAACAATCATGAGCACGATACCAAAAATCACCAAGAGCAAGCACGTCTACAAGAAAAAGAAAAAACAATGGAAAGAAGAAGTTAGTAGGCTGATCTGATCATCCAAAATCCTCAAAAACACATTTCATGGTACGATCAAAAGCTTTAATATATTACCAGAGAAGAATTTGATCTTTGTGTCTTTGATGCTTTTACGAGATGGGATTTTCCTTGGGCAGTTGCAGCGTAAGAGTTATCGATGTGAGTACCAATATCATCTACACAAAAATAGGTCTTACGTCTTAGGTTTTGAAGACATAAGTGAGAGTTTTAGCATAACAAGAGTTGGAATCAGTTTTACCTATCATGTTTCCTTGATCGTGCACCAACACTGCCAAGTCTTTGAAGATCTCGTGCACCTCGCCAATTTGCTGCTGAATTTCTTGTATCCCTTGCTCTCTTTCCTCAATAACAGCCTCATTGAACGCAATCTCATTGTCCAACAGTACAAGTTCTTGTCTGCAACAAAAAACAACAAACCAATCAATAGATAACTCATCAACCGAACAAAGATGGACACCATTGTCTGTATAAACTAACCTTTTTGATTCCACAAGAAGGGCACGCTGCTCTGGATGCTTATCTCCATTCACATCTATCTCACTGGATGTGTAGCTACATTACCAAAGCCAGGAAATCAATACACAAAACCACAAAAGTAAACATAAACCATCAATGAGCATTAACCTTGAGGGAAGAGATGGCTTGTGGACAAGAGGAGCATATACGGTTTCTCTTTCAGCAGCAAGACGCTGAGCCTTTTGAAACTCTTTCAACACAGCTTGAAAGTCCTTTGCAAGCTTAGCATCCACAATCTTCTTCTTTTGCTAACCAACCAATCAAATTCCTATTAATCAACAGAAGTAGCAGAAGAAGAACAAGAATCTTCCTTTATCATAAATGACTCACATTTGCACCTCTTTGATGATCAGTTTCACTAGCTTCTTTAAGTTTAGCTGATGTATCTTTCACTAACTGTCCAATATATAATCTTGTCTTATGCCTAAAACAAGCAAATTGACTCAATTAGAAACAATTTCAAGTACCCTAAAACTCAAAAAGGAGATAACTTTAACTTTGAGAAGTACTTACAGCTTCTCTCTGAGCTCAGGCGTATCTTTAGGAGTACCAAGAGTATTGACAAGACGATGGAAAGTGGAAACACTTGTATTGATCTGAAATATACCAGAAGCAACAGCTTGAGTCGTGTCTTGTCTACAACCACCACCATTGATGTTCCTTGAAGAAGCTAATGATCTTCCTCTTCCCGCCTCTAAATCTTGAAAACTCATTCTTTCTCTCTCTTTCTCGAAAACCCCGCCACTAAATTATCCTCTTTTATTCGCCCAAGAAAACAAAGCAACAACAAAATTCGATTTACAGTCGATAACGGAGATCGAGGGAAGAGAGGATGTGATGGTGATTTCAAGATTCCCCGGTGAGTTTCTCTCTCTCCGGACAGATTGAGAAAAAACGTGAACCGCGGAGAGAGAGATTGAGCAAAACGTGAAATGTCACATTACCTGTATGAACGGAAAAAGCTTGTACTTTTTTCATTTTTTGATCCTTAACTTTTCTATAATATTCCAAACGTGACTCTATAGTTTAGAATCTTAACGGTATATCCTCCTTTTATTATAAAGTGATAAATGGTCTACGATGATTACATTGCTCTGAGCTCAGGACACGTGGATGGTAGACATTGGTGGAGAAAGTGATTATGTCACGACGTTAATTGATTATTTTAACCAAGATACTAACAGATTACGGATTAATTAGAATTAGATTAAGGATTATGATAGATTAGTCCAGAATTTAATGAATAAAATCTCTAGATAGAACTTTACGTGACTAAAAAGGGTCAAAAGCAAAAGAAGTTTAAAATTAGGACTCTTTTTTAATCATCGCACGTGAGAAGGTTCCGACCATATCACGTGCCAAACCCGAATAAGACTCGTTTTTCCAAGGCGTTTAAAATCAGGTCCCACTTTTTTCTTTTATTTTTCACTCTTCTTCACATCAAATCCGCGACCAGAGATTTTTCTTTCCTTTGATTTTTCGTTTCGTTTCGTTTCAAATATTGTTCCTCCTGTGTGAAGGAAAAACAATCTTCCATTTCAATCCGCGTCAACGCGATTTTCTTCATGACGGTGAGCTTATCTAATCTCTTCGCTTTTTGAAACTAGTTAGTTTTGGTTTTTGTTTTGGATTTATCCTGAGAAAGGTCGATGTTTTTGCTGTTGATTTGATTGAGGAAGATGTGAACAGATCTGTTGATTTTGATTGTTGTTTTCTAATTTGTTTTGCGAGAAATGGCGTTGATTATTAGTGAAGAATCGCTAGTTTTTTTATTTTAGAGGATTTGAAGCTGTTCTCTGTTTTTGATTTGGGTGAAAATTACTGTTTCTGATATGAAGAATTTTTTTTTTTAGGGTAAAATTATTTTTGTTTGGATTAGGATATTCACTGTAGCATTTGTTTTGTTTTGTAATCTGTTAATATCTGATCTGTGCCATAGGATTAGTTTTGAGACAAGGATTTGCTTTTCCTAGATTCTGAGGTTCTTTTTATCTTCTTGTATTGATGATGCAATGTTTCTGTGTTTTCTGATCATTGTATTGATAATATTGGTTGCTTTAGGAGTGTGTGTGTGTGTTTAGTCATTGTTTTAGGCGATAAGGAATCGAGAAATGTGTAATCGAACAACTAATGAATAAGTCTGAGATTTGATTTAGCTGGTGAAATGGTTTGAAATTTTAGTTTTTAAGTCACACGAGATTATATTTCACTTGCAGATGACAACAGTTAAAGTGAGCAATGTTTCTCTAGGAGCAACCGATAGAGATCTCAAGGAGTTCTTTTCCTTTTCTGGCGATATTCTGTACCTTGAGACGCAGAGGTTTGGTTTCCTCTCTATTGTTACTTTTGAAAGTTTTAGATTACAGCTTTTAGTTCGTCAGGTTCTTTACTCTTTTGACATGTTTGTACAGCGAGACTGAGCGGACTAAACTGGCATATGTCACTTTTAAGGATCTACAAGGAGCTGAAACTGCGGTTCTTCTCTCGGTATTTTTACTTCTTAGCCTGATTAGTTTCTCAGAGAAACTTTCTCTATATGATTGTATCCTTTGAGTGACTGAGTATTAATGTAATTCTTTCATTTCAGGGAGCAACGATTGTTGATTCTTCAGTCATTGTCTCTATGGCTCCTGATTACCAACTGTCCCCTGAGGCTTTAGCTTCCTTGGTAAGCTCGTAACTCATCATCTCTTCTGAGATTTTTCACAAGTTAAAATCTTACCATTTCATTCTTTTTCACAGGAACCCAAGGACAGCAATAAATCTCCCAAGGCAGGTGACTCTGTATTGAGAAAAGCCGAGGATGTTGTGAGCAGCATGCTTGCAAAGGGCTTTATACTGGGAAAAGATGCCATAGCCAAAGCCAAAAGTGTTGATGAGAAGCACCAGCTAACATCTACGGCATCAGCCAAAGTCGCATCTCTTGACAAAAAAATCGGTTTCACTGATAAGATCAACACCGGCACAGTCGTTGTGGGAGAAAAGGTCAGGGAAGTTGATCAGAAGTACCAAGTTTCAGAGAAAACCAAATCAGCAATCGCTGCAGCGGAGCAGACAGTGAGCAATGCAGGTTCAGCTATAATGAAGAACCGGTATGTTCTCACAGGTGCCACGTGGGTTACTGGAGCATTCAACAAAGTTGCTAAAGCTGCAGAAGAAGTTGGACAAAAGGCTAAAGAGAAAGTTGGTATGGCTGAAGAAGAGGATAAGAGGAAAGTGGTTGATGAGTTTGCTAGAGTTCACTTGTCTGAATCACCAAAGGCAGCTTCATCAACGCAAGAAGCCGAACGTGAATCAAAACTCTCTGAATCTCCTAAAGCAAAGAAAGATTCTGAACATCTTGAGCCACAACCGAAACCATTGCAGCAACAATCTCCTCCACCTATGGCTTCAGCTCCTGCTCCGGCTCAACCTTGAGATATGCAAGCAAAGACCTTTCTGATTCTTGTTGTAAACGGTAAAACTTGGAACTAATCTCTCTCAGATTGTTGAAGATGAAGATTGAACTTGTTATTTAGGACGAAGACTTGTGTTCTTGTAACATTGGATTCATGGTCGATTTGGTAATTAGACCTTAAAAAGAAAACAATTTTGTCCTTTTTGTTTTTCTTAAACTTATTTAAACCGGGCTAATTATCATGGTTAACTGAACCAAATACCGATCGATTTTTATTTTTAAATCAAAAATTTTATTAGAGCAATTAGCCCGTCAAGTGATTTTATGTAACTGAAAGTAACAAACCAAAGTAGATGTTACAAACACAGTTGACAGGAAACGCTTTGTCGGTGATTTAAGAAATCTAACTATAAGAAGATTTTAAGCACTTTAAATTCAAAGAAGCACTTCTAATTATAAGAAGATTTTAAGCACTTTAAATTCAAAGAAGCACTTTAAATTGATACAATTAAGAATAAATGTATATATTGACATTTGACAAAACTAAAGGAATAAAATCTCGACCAATTAAACACATTATCAAAATATTTTGTTCTCAAGTGAAAAAAGAACAGATTTATTCATGGTATAAAAGGAAAAAGACAATTCGTTTTCTCACAATTATATATTGTTTGTAAACACATCATCTTAATTGTGCAAACAATATCAAAATTATACCAATAGAAAAGAGCACAGGAAAAAAATGGAGAAATCAGCTTTGATATTCATCGGTATTCTACTTTTTTCAACATGTGAGTTTCACGGCAAAAATTATGTACCAATTGTATTCATCATCCTTATCATGTCATGAGCGTTTCTATAAATCATTTCGGTGATTTTTAGCAGGTACATCGATTATGGCACGAACTGGATATGTATCTTGCAAGACGAATTCTGACTGTGTTAAACTCAAATGTCCAACGCCATTTGGTGGCCCCAAATGTATTAGCAGTAGTTGTGAATGCCCCCTTAAAAGACTCGTGACATTACCCAATGATACCAATTATGGTGTGGCTGCCTGCATTGACTATTGCAAGGCAAAAGGTGAAAATGTTTATGCATGTATCTTAAACCATTGTTACTCTCACAAACTTCCCATGTAATTTTATTAAGTTTTTGCGCATAAGGTTTTCAAATATCTAATTTTATTACTATTAATATCTTTTGAATATCGATAATATCATTTAATTACTCTAGTTTATGTTTGGACATTTGACTGAAAATTAAACTTATAGTTTGAATGTTTTTCTTTCACTTATTTGTTAGATTCATTTGTATATTTTGTGTACTTAATCGTTTATGAACATAAGACAAGTTAAATTGATATTTTATCAGGTTTGTTAGTGTCCTAAATTAGACTTGTTTTACATAAATATTAGATATTCATTAAAAATATATTTGTCTATGGAAATTACAGAGACAACAATAATTGTAGTTCAGTCGAGATAAAAATCAGTTCAACGAAAATATCATGACAATCCGGCAAAAATTTAGTAAAAAAATTGGAATAAATCCGTAAAACCTTAGTTCAAAGTTCTTCGTCAATGATTTGATTATCAAGATATTATAAAATTGTTTAGCGAGATTTTTGGTAACTATTTGAGTAACGAATCGATTAAATAAATGCACTCTCAAAATGTAAATATAGAAGATCAAATGTTATCGCTGGCAAAAAGAAAAATAATGAATTTCCAATTTACTACCTTGATTAGAAACATCAAACTAGGTAATTTTTCACTCATTCTAAAACAAATTAGGTATAAAATCTTATTACATGAAGTAAGTAACGTATTTACCAAAACATTAACCAGTAAATTAGCAAAACAATTGCTTGCTGGGGAAGAAAACCAAATTATAAATACTCTCCAAATCCTCCAGTTTTAGTCACACAAACAACTCAAAACACAAGAGAAAGATACAAACTTATTCAATAAAAATGGAGAAAGCAGCTTTGATATTTATCGGTCTTCTACTTTTCTCAACATGTACGTAATTTTTTTGGATAATATGTTTAATTACATTCATCGCCATCTTCTTCTTCCTCATCTATATTATATATCATCATGAATTCATGATCAATAACATATTTAATCTCATAGGCACACAAATTCTGGCACAATCTTGCAACAATGACTCTGATTGTACTAATCTAAAATGTGCAACGAAGAATATCAAGTGTGAGCAGAACAAGTGTCAATGCCTTGATGAAAGATACATCCGTGCGATATCGCTTAACACGAGGTCACCGAGGTGTAATGTTCAATCTTGCATTGATCATTGCAAAGCAATAGGCGAAGTAATTTATGTTTGTTTTACGTACCATTGTTATTGTCGCAAACCTACAATGTAATAACAAAGTTATCATAATCATAGTATCTTTAACTTCTTTTACTGCGGCAAATTTCAACATATATTGTTTTATCATAACTATAAAATCTGTCTTTAATAAAAGAAATTAAAACAATAATAATATATCTTACAAAATACTAATTATTTACGAGTTATTGTGGTTTTGGTTTTATTTTACAAGTATAGATTGGCGTTTTTGTTATAATGGGCTTTTGGGTACGCGATTGTAATACACGGACTTGGATCGCGCGTTAAAGAATAAAGTTTGACGGATCCAAAATTTTGACTTTTTTTTTTGTATCGACTGAGCAAAGATTTGATTTGACTCTCTGCTTCCTTCGAGGAAAACAAAGTAGAGTGTTGGACAAGCTTTTTGTCCATCTGTTATTCCGTTAATTATCGCCGTTAAACAGGGACGGACGCCGTTTACACTTCCTGGCCCGGTAACTATTTTTGAGTGCATATATCTCTTTCTTACCTTTTTTATCTTCTCTAGCTTATCCGAAGCCAAAACAACAAGGTAAGGTAAAGTAAAAAGAATTTTGAGAGTAAAGTGAAAACGAACCCTTTAAACTCAGTCTTCTCTTTGTCTGATTTAAAATGGAAACGAAAGACAAGAAAGAAAAAGGACATATGGTTTTAAATTCCGACAACGTTTTCGGTTCGGTGTCTTCGTCTCCGACAACAACAATCCAAAACCCTAATTACTTTACCTCCTTCGAGAACCCTAATTTCCCTTACATTTTTCCGGTTTGTCTTCGTCTCCAAAAACCCTAACTTTTTTACATATTTTTCTTAAAAAATTAATAACTTTATTGTTTTTGTGGGTTTAGAAAGAAGAGTATGAGGTGATGAGCAAGATCGAAAGCGGGTCGGGTAAGTCAACCGGGTCGGGTCATGACCCAGTGGAGAATACTGCAATCGAACAAGAGCCTCCTGCGGCGAAGAAGAAACGTTACCATAGACATACTGCTAGTCAGATTCAACAAATGGAAGCGTACGTCTTCTTGCCCTTTTAGTTTACAAGTTTATTATGTCAAAAAAAATTATAACGATGGTTTATGAAATGATGTTTAAAATATGAAATTTTGCCCTTTTATTGTAGATTGTTTAAGGAAAATGCTCATCCGGATACCAAAACAAGATTGAGATTAAGTAAAAAACTTGGTCTCTCGCCGATACAAGTCAAGTTTTGGTTTCAAAACAAACGTACCCAAATCAAGGTAACTAATCACTCTTTAGTTTGGTTTGATTTTAACAAGGTTAGTTAGACCATATAAACCGGTTTAAAATTGGGGTTAGAAACTCTGGCTAAGACCATTCATGTTAAGAAATTAAGCTTTTGTTGTTGCTAATACTGAGATTAACAGGCACAACAAAGTAGAAGCGATAATGCAAAGCTAAAAGCAGAGAATGAGACTCTAAAGACAGAGAGTCGAAATATTCAGTCCAATTTTCAATGCCTTTTTTGCTCTACTTGTGGCCACAATCTCCGCCTCGAAAACGCTCGCCTCCGCCAAGAGGTATGTATATTCGAATGAATCAAATCTTGGCTGTTGTTGTTTATCTACTGAATCATATGGTTATCATATGTTGCAGCTTGATCGTTTACGCAGCATTGTTTCCATGAGGAATCCTTCTCCTTCACAAGAGATTACCCCGGAGACTAATAAGAACAACAACGATAATATGTTGATTGCGGAAGAAGAAAAGGCGATTGATATGGAACTTGCAGTTTCTTGTGCTCGAGAATTAGCAAAGATGTGTGACATAAATGAGCCCTTGTGGAATAAGAAGAGACTAGACAATGAGAGTGTGTGTCTGAATGAGGAAGAGTATAAGAAGATGTTCTTATGGCCTCTAATGAATGATGATGATCGTTTTCGCAGAGAAGCTTCAAGAGCTAATGCAGTCATCATGTTGAACTGCATAACCCTCGTCAAAGCATTCCTTGATGCTGTAAGAATAAGTCAAAAACACATTCCTTATATTCATTGTTTAAAAACTCACATTGAACCATAAATATGTTTAACCTTTGCTTCAAGGATAAATGGTCGGAAATGTTCTTCCCCATAGTCTCAAGCGCCAAAACGGCTCAGATCATTTCTTCTGGAGCTTCTGGACCAAGTGGTACTCTTCTTCTGGTAAGTAATTTGCAATTTTACAATAGATAGAGTGTTCACATTAATTGGTTTTAAGGTCACTGAATCTTGTCTCTCTTTTCAAAAAAGATGTTTGCAGAGTTACAAGTAGTGTCTCCATTGGTACCAACAAGAGAAGCTTATTTTCTTCGGTATGTGGAGCAAAATGCTGAAGAAGGAAAATGGATGGTTGTAGATTTCCCGATCGATAGGATCAAACCAGCATCAGCTACTACTACTGATCAATACCGGAGAAAACCTTCTGGTTGCATCATTCAAGCAATGCGTAACGGATACTCTCAGGTCACATGGGTAGAGCACGTAGAAGTAGAAGAGAAGCACGTGCAGGACGAGGTTGTTAGAGAGTTTGTGGAGAGCGGTGTGGCCTTTGGCGCTGAACGGTGGCTATCTGTGTTGAAGAGACAATGTGAAAGGATGGCTAGTCTCATGGCTACAAACATCACTGACCTTGGAGGTATATATATAACTTGTTTCACAAGTAAACCTCAAACTTCCACAACCAATGTGATTAGTTATCCGTTTTCTCGTGTTTTTTCCTTCAGTGATACCTTCTGTAGAAGCGAGGAAGAACTTGATGAAGCTGTCACAGAGAATGGTGAAAACTTTCTGTCTGAACATAATCAATTCACACGGACAAGCACCAACAAAGGACACAGTTAAAATCGTAAGCAGGAAAGTTTGCGGTGGTCTTGTTCCTTGTGCCGTGTCAGTCACGCTTCTCCCTTATTCTCATCAACAAGTCTTTGATCTTCTCCGCGACAATCAACGTCTCTCTCAGGTAAAGAAAGTAAAACCAGAATCTTCTTCCTCTGTTCTTTTGATCCAAAGATTCTGAAAATCGATTCTCTGCAGCTGGAGATCTTGTTCATGGGTAGTTCATTTCAAGAAGTTGCTCATATCGCTAATGGCTCACATCTTGGAAATAGCATCTCTCTTCTTCGGATCAATGTTAGTGATTGATTCAAAATCCCAACAAAAAAAAAAATCGAATTTTGATTTTAAAACTTAAAAAGTTTGGTTTTTGAATTACAGGTGGAGAGCAATTCATCGCATAATGTAGAGTTGATGCTTCAAGAAACATGCACCGATAACTCCGGGAGTCTCCTGGTGTACTCTACCGTCGACCCCGTCGCTGTTCAGCTCGCCATGAACGGCGAAGATCCTTCTGAAATACCACTTTTGCCCGTTGGATTCTCTGTTGTTCCAGTGAATCCATCCGATGGTGTCGAGGGCAGTTCCGTCAGTTCGCCTTCGTGCTTGCTCACTGTTGCAATACAGGTCTTGGGGAGCAACGTCACCACCGAAAGACTCGATCTTTCCACCGTCTCCGTCATCAATCACCGTATTTGCGCCACTGTCAACCGTATCACTTCCGCGCTCGTCAACGACGTCGGTAATTAAGAGAAGATTTGGAGGGTATTTTGGTAAATAATCGCAGCTAAAAAAACTTATTATTTGTTGAGGTAAATTCGATCCGATACAAAGGGTAAAAACTGGAATTTACCACTAAATCTTTTGGGGAGTCAAGAACGCACCAAGGCATGATTTGTTGAACCGGGGTTTATCCGGTTTACCAACTGCTTGATTGGTTCGGGTATTGACTTCCAACTTGGTTAAACGAAAACGTTTTATATTATGGTTTTGTTCAAAAAAAAGCTAGTTTAATGCTAATTACGAAAATCTACTTATGGTTTATTATTCGTATTGAATCCTTGTAAAATAATGTACAACTAGGAAAACCAACTCACAAATTAATTGCTCAGAAACCAAACAATCCACTTAAAAATGCAAACAACCAATTAAACTTTGTCGAGCATACATAATACATTATGTGATCCACATTTCCAGATGGATCTGATCTTATGAGAAGCTTCGTAATTAGTAATTAGAGTAGGACCGAACCGTACGAGTGACGACGGCCGTGGTGCTTTTGGACGTTGATGCCTAGTTATCGCCTAAACCACTTTTTAGAAAAGTTTCTTTATAGTATTGGCTCTGGGAACTCGAGAGTGAGGTATCCTGTATTCTTGTCTAAGGTTCTTCTTACTATAGCTATGCGATCATGAGTCTTATGACCAAGACGACGCTTAGGACCCCGTCCTTTATTCGCGTGGTACTTGTACTTTATGTAGAAAAATGCATTCCTGGCCTTGAGTCTCTCACTTGGCGGCTCCATATTATCTTTAGTTTCTATCGCTACCATGACAATCACCAACTTAGATAGATTCGGCTGCAACAAATAGTTTAAAAAAAAAATACACTATTGTATTGTTATTAATACCAAAAGTCATTGAAAAGGAAAATAAAAATCAAAATTGTACATTTTTAGGCGATCTCAAATGCGCTTTTAGGAAAGCAAGTTCCATGTATAAACGAATCCAGTCATGTGTTAGCAGCTCTGATTTTTTCACCTGCAAAATCAAACACATCACTACTACTGGACTGTCATGAGCAAAGGCATACGTGAAACTGACAATATATCTTACCACGTAAAATCGTTTATTATCATTGAAAGCATCCTCTGGTG